TACTTCCAAAAAGTTCTTAGAGTTCTTAGAGTCATAGTCGCGCTTCGTAAAATCGCCGTGCTAACCGTTTAGTGAAATCGCTATAACCGAATCTTTCGAGAAGCTTCGAGGAAAATCGCCGAGATTTTCCATCACCGCGATTCCAAGCTCAATTTGGAAAAGGTGACCGCATTTAATATTCTGTTAATCTGATCTTTAATTAATTATATCTTTTGACTTTGTAACTGAATACATTAAAGAAATTCTTTTGTTAAATTAAATGAAACGGAGTTCTCTTCACTGTCGTGCATCATATCAACCTTGTGCCGTTTTCTCACTCGAATCTGTCCGCGCGGTGCGCTCTCGCACATTTTCTGGTCCTTCGAGCCGGATTTAAACTAGCGAGAAAGACAGTAAGACAAACGCCGCATCACTTTAAAAATTTCACGATCAGCGCTCTCGCTCTGGTTCGCTCTCGCACAATAATAAACTCAGCCATATGCTTATATAGCGATAGAGATGTCGGCCGGAAACGATGATTTCCATATGATATCCTCCTAATTTATCAGTACAATTCAAAATTTGCATTTTATTCTTAATTTTATCTAAAAACATGTTGAATGCTATTATAACGTGAAGTAAGGATATATAGCTATCACTATCAAGAACAGCAAATATATTTTTGAAATTTTTTTAGAAATTTCTGAACTTCTGAGCACAAATACCATTCCTCTTCAGAGAGTAGATACATGTGAAATGCAATATTACTTTGACACAAACTAATCAGCGCAGGCTTCAATAATAATGCAGCTTTGCTTTTTCTAGTAAGAGACATAAGCGGTTTCTCTTCGTGATTGGTGTTGCCATGTTTCAGTTTGTTAATGTATTAGTGAATGTAAGTGAATAAGTGATAGCAAGTTTTATAGGTAGGAAGTTTTTTCGCTTCAGTTTGAGTTAATTATCTTAAAATAAACATCGCCAGTCTAATTTTGGCCGTTGATTCCCTTCTTATATTTAGGACAGATGTCATTTATTAAAGAAAAATAAGAATTATTAGCCATTTACGATAAGACAGAAACATGATATTCTTCCGGTTTTGTCTCGACTTTTACTAGAGAGACTCTACTATAATGCACGTAACCACCGACAGGCGACGAAATATTGGGTATATTCAAAAATTGACCTGTACTGAAAATCTGTAGTGCACATAATGTAAATTGTAGCAATTTCAGCGCTGGTGAATTTTGAACACAGTCATTATTAAAGACCAACACTGGGGTCCTTGGGCAAATTTTTGGCGGTATAAAAAAGACCTCAAAGGCCCGAAGGTAATTGAAGAAACGCTAATATTATCGACAATTAATAAACACGTCTACAACTATTATTTTCAGATTTCTTGATGAAATAATAAAATATTTTGTCGAAATCTCGACAAGATCTTTAAACGACGAGAATTTTAAATAATCTCGATCTCATTATGTTAGATCTCGGTATTTTGAATATTACAAGTGATCTCGATTTCGAATCTCATTTCAATTTCGAGATGAGATCGAGACGAGATCGAGATTTTTCTCGTCTCGTACGCATCTCTAATGTTAGTATTTTTATTTTTATTATTTTTTTTAATATGCACTCTAATTTTATCATAAATCAGCAAAAAATTATTTCTTGCTAAATGGCTATAGTAATAAAATCGAGATTAGAACAACAAATTAGCACAGAAAGAGCACTAAATCCTTCATATGTCTTATGTGATTATGCTAATTGGAATTTAAATCTTTGGTGACAGTTTTAAATTTCTCAGAAATGCTATCAATATATGAGATGGTAAACCATGATGCATTTTCATTATCTCTTGTTTCTGTCGTGATTGTGTGATTTTTTTTTATTGTTAATCAGATATTTGATTCTATTGTAAATTATATTAAAGACAAACTTCAAATGGATAATCATTGACGAGAACAATAAGTTCTAAATTTTTTAAATAAAACATAGAATAAGAAATGAAAAAGGCCCTATCTATCAGACTAATTATGCATCTCTTTTGTGTAAGGGTGTTGGGACAAAAAAATTAAGATATCTTTCTGAAAAGATAAGTTTTTGATATCAATCGAAAATTATATTGTTTGATATAATGATAGTACTAAAAAGCTAATTGTGTTTTTACCTATTTCTAAAGTAAATTATAGTGAATTGTAAGAATTAAATTCAAGAACAGTTTGCGTCATTTTTGATGGTATAACCATGACTATGTTGTCAACAAATCTGTAATAAAAAGGTATCTCGTAGTCAATGTCTCCAACACTGCTCTTTTTAAATCCTGCATTACTAAATCGGCAATCACCGGGGGAGAGTCCATCGGTGTGTATTTAAAGTAGGTTGAGTCTAATACAAGACGAACTGCCCCAAGGAATTCATTTTTTGGTATATTACAAATTTGAAATAAAATTCTATTTTTTGGAAATGCTCTCTACAACTAAATCTGTGAATACGTTAGTAAAAAGTGATATTACAGATATCACATCTAAAGATCAAACAGTATCATTATCAAGATAATGTATATTAAATCTCTATCGTCATGTTGTACAGTATTATTATCAAGATAATGTATATTAAATCTCTATCGTCATATTGTACATATATGAAATCATATTCAGAAAAATGATAGAGATTTAGTATACAGTGTAATTTTTTTAATTAATGGTATGATTGTGAATCGTTATTTCCGAGCTTAATTTTTTCGTTTTCCATTGAGTGAGTCATTTGATTTTATTATTTGATATTTTTCTTTGCCTCATAATATTAAATTGTAAATTTGATACAGTGTAATGAATGCTGCATTTCTGCCAATCTGTAAGTGATTTGCTCAATGGATGAATTTTTGATTTTATGATCACTGATGAAGATTTCAAAGTGAGTCAAAACGTTCGAAATAACATGAAGATAACCATGAATATCTAAGGATTATCTACTTCTCCTATCTTTTCGCATCTACAATAGCGTATGACTCTCATTAGGCTCATCTGAACTTTTATTACTTTTTATTTTTATTGTTTAATATTGAGAGTCCTTATTTATATTTATATTTGTTTATTTAATTAATTTGTTTATTAATTTTTTTTACTTTTCTCTCCGAAGTAAAAAATACCGTTTTTTTACATCTTTAATTTCGACCTTTAATGTGATCATTTTTAATGATACATATGAACAAAGAAATTGAACCATAGACTGATTAAATTAAATGTTACATTAAAAATAGCTGAGTGCACAGTAATTTTTCTTTGTATGTAAACATAATTCAAAATAAAATGCATGAGAGACTCCATCCAATCAGAAAAATTATGATTACGTAACACTTTGCGCATCTGTTATACTATAGGGTACCTTAATTTAGTCTCTAGTACGAACTGAGACTAAATTAAGGTGCTTTTTCATACTCACGCTTGACACTCATTTTGGCCTCAAAATAAGTCACGTGATAGAAATTGATGAATATTAAGCATCAATTTTGATGCTGGAAATGAATGTTGAACGTCAGCATGAAAAGGCACCTTTACAGACGACATAAAAATGAATAAATGATGAAAAATGAATGATCAGTATTATTAATAACGTCAACAAAACGTTCCTAACAAGAAACGCATTATGAAGAAGAAATTAATATCACACATAATTGAAATTAGTACAAATTATTGAGGAATGTATGAATGATGTAGGAATTTCTGATCGGACTGAAGATTTAACCAATTTTTCTGTAACTGAATGTGTAACATTTCAGAAATGCATCATTTATAAAGAAATTATTTAATATCAAGAATTTCCGAATCTTACTAAAATCATAGTTATGATCCAATCTATGTTCCATTATGACAGAAATTTTAAATCAGAAACACATAATAGAAAATGTTAAGTTTTTTGTCTTAGGTTCTTTAATATGATTAATCCGCTTACTGCTTACGTTTTATTGTCTTATTTTTTTATGTATTTCTGGCTTTATTCTCATAAAATTTATAATGTATGATTATATCCAAGCAGCAATCAAAAAAAGAAAAAAAATACGCAAAGAATAGAAATAACTCGTTACTTGTAACGAAATTGTAGTTACAAATTACTTTTTTGGTAATTTTACTGGTAACGTGAGTTACTTTTTTTTGGTAACTTTAACGATAACGAATTTTACAGTTATTTATAGAGTCGGTTTCACCAATCAAGCCTAATCGTGATTAACTGTCAACCGTAATTGATCGATTTTACTAAACAGCAAACGCGATTGGTCAGTCAACGGCCGATTAAGCTGTTCACGTTGGTGAAACTGATCCTTATTGTTTTAACTTTGCACATGATTGGACACGGCTCGACACAAGCTACTCATAGCGCTTGAGATTAGAAAGTTCCTAGACACTCATTCGCTGTGATTAGTAGTCGTCGATTTTAAAAACGGGAAAGTAATGAAAAATTATTTTTTTCAAGTAAATAATAACTATAACGAGTTACTTTTAAAAATTGGTAACTGTAACTTGTTATTTTTAAAAAGTAACTTTTCATTCCCTGAAAATAGATAATTCTGTTGCGATAAATTGCCTTGAATATTAGAGTATTTAAAAAATGAGATTATTCTTTACAAGCATATATATTCTTTTTTCTATCTTAATTTTCAGCAAAGAGATGAAAAGGATGCTGGAGCTGTTTGAGAGCGCGATGAATCTGTAAAGCAGTAGGAGGAGAAAGATGTTGCATACTTATCAAGACACTATTGTGCGCTTTTAGATTCATGATGAAATGCAATTGCACTGTTAAATTTACAGTATGTTATGAAAAATATGTTGATGTATTATACGACAAACAGGATTATATCTGCTGTACAAGTTTTTTGGAAATGTGTGTATGCTGAGAACACGCCTGCGTGTGTGTGTGTGTGTGTGTGTGTGTGTGTGTGTGTGTATGTGCGTGTTAATGATATATTAATGATATATTAATGTAATATAACATAAGTAATTTGTTTTTTTTGTTTAATTTTTATCATGACTACATCATAATTCATATATTGTACATGAGACACATTATACAGAGTGTTTCATAAATGCATGTTCAATACTTTAGCAGGCAAATTGGATGTCCTTCCAAATGGGATACCCCTCCGATTGAGTTGAAACTTTACAGACAATATTGTTACGATAAATTTATGAATTTATGATTATCTTATTTTTGGATTTTGTAATATAAAAGTTAAAAAAAGTAGCTTTGCGTAGAAAGTCGTGCGCCCTTTTCCCGTGCAAAAGGGAAGGTGCGATAAAACTCGCTTCGCTTGGGAAGTCATGTGTTCCTTAGCAGGAAGGTACGGCCCACCGATCTCGCATGACGCGCGGATCGCGAGAAGCGGAGCTGGCCTAGCAGGCGCCGTCTTCGGTGGGCCGCAGTGATGCGAATTCCGGGCCGCTTGCACGCGATCAGCGCCACCGATCTAGCGCAACCGGTAGCAACACAAGCATGAATCTGTGTCCGTGTGACTTGGTTAGTTAGAAGCGTGCCGACTATATCGCTCTGTCCTTTTTGCACTAAGTTCTTATTGCTTGCCGCGCTGAAAACGAGAGAGAAGCTTGCTGTTTCACTCAAGCAAGCGTCGAGCAACCGAAATATGCTTTCTCGGTAGTATCACATCCGCATTTAAAATTCTGTTAATGAACAAAATTTCGAAAAAACGAGATTACTAATAATATAAATAAAGATGATACCAATATAATTTTGTAGTGCACAATTGAAAGCCTTCATATGTTGTGTAATTTTAAAATAATTTTTTATTTGCTTATTGAAAAGCGAATCGGTTTTTTCCTACAACTATTGCTTAAAAATTACACATATGAACAATAGTTTCAAAAATTATATGAAAATATATTTGCCCTAATATGTTTACTACTAATTATAGTACTTATTTCCGATCTCACACCTTACGCGCTCGATCACGCCAATTTCTTGCGGATCGAATTTATGACCATGGTACATAACACGAATGGAAAATCATAAACAATAAATCTCTTGTCAACTATCGCATTTTGACACGATTTATAATATTCTGGATTTATGGGAGGGATATATTACAGTTTATTACAATTTATTAAAATTTATATGTTATCTATAACGTTCCCATGCTTCTATGCCTCTTGATACACGCCTGACGTCGAGAGCCGAGAGGCCGAGAAAGCTTATTTCGATTGCTCAACGTTCGCTTGAGTGAAACAGCAAGAATTCGCATCACTGGTGGGCCGTATCTTCGGCAATAATAGGTCCGGCGGACGCGCGTATCAGCTATTTTTAACGTTAATATCTTGTCAACTATTGCGAGCATTGCAAAATGGTAGAGGAATTTTCGACTCAGTTTAGTCTGCGCTACCTTCTCAGGATGGATGAGGCCAAAATTTAGAGCCCTGTATATATATATATATGCAGGATAGCTCCAATTTGTGGCTATGTATAATCAGTTGCGCTTAAATAATTAAAAATGATCTAAATATAGATAAGATAAATCACACAAAAGTGTATCCTAGATAAGATAAAGATGATTAATTTTACATTAATCTGGATAAAAGATAAAATTTTAAAAAATGTTATCTATATAATTTTTAAGATAATTTTGTTTTTAAGTAAATTAGGTAGTAAAACGATTTAGGATACAAAGAACGCGATTTCATATTTTTGTAAATCTTTATTTTTTAATAACAAAAGTTTTTCGAATATTTCGTATGATAATCGATTTCTACGTAGAATTAATATTTGTTGTCCACAACAAAAAGGCGCTCTACTGACGTTGATGATGGCATTGATGTGTTATACATAAAAGAAATTTGTTTGACATGTGAATATAAATTAAGAATATCTATTTCTTTAGATTTATTTTCTAAATATGGAAGTACTTTAATATTGCTTTGAACGACTAGTGTCACACTAATTTCAGTTTCTTTGTCTATATCACGAAAAAAATCCTCACTACTACTAATATTACTACTACTACTGGAAGTTAATTGTTTAATCTGAGAGTAAATTGCATTTTTGCAATACAAGTTATCTACTTTCTTTACATAACTCTATGTTATCTTCTGACACCTAATTTAATTTAAATCTAAGTAAACTGATAGCAGATATAAACATTTTACTATCAAGTGATCCAAGATCAAAAATATATTTAAATGGCTTTTCTAAAACTTCCAACTACAAATGGATTACAATATATTAAATGCATCAATTTTGTAAGTTTTTGTTTTAGTATTAGGTGTACAAATAAGTTTCTGCCATTTGACAAAAGATGGCGCCACTAGCAAGCTATGGTTAAAATTGTGATGTAAAACATTATTTCGTAAGATTGGACATCTGTCACAATATAATTTTGAAATACTAGCGATTTTGTATCAGCATCATATATTTTTTTTTGTGCCGAGTTTTGAGCCGAATAAGCGTCATTTACGGGAACTTTTGATTTACTTCTTTAATTTGAAGAAATCTGCAGCTGAGGCTCATCGATTGCTTGTAGAAGCATATGGTGAGGCTGCCGTAAGTGAGAGAAGTTGTCGTGAATGGTTTCAAAAATTTAAGAACGGTGAATTTGACGTCGAAGACAAAGAACGTAGCGGAAGTCCGAAAGTGTACGAAGACGCGGAATTGCAAGCATTATTGAATTAAGATTCGTGCCAAACGCAAAAAGAACTTGCACTTACATTTTGACTTACAATAAAAACATTATGTATCGTTCTTTCACAATAAATGCTTAATTTTTGATAAAAAATGGCGGAAACTTATTTGTACACCTAATAGGTGCTACCAAACCTAAAAAATTTATTTTTTCTCTTTGTAACATATCAAGACTTGTTGCTAAAGGAGACATGATCATAATAAATTCTATCTATTTCTTCTAAGAATTCAATTTCAGTTGATTTCAATTTTTGGAGCTTTAACTTTTCAAAAAGTGTATTGGGTTATTTTTTATGAACAAGAATTTTTTTACGGCATCGTATTGAGAATTCCATCGCGTAATAACAGACATTGAAAATTTACAATTATATTCCTGAAGGCAAATATCAGATACAACTATACTGTGACTAAGTAAGTTCCAAAAGCATTTAACTTTGCCAAAAACAGAACGACAAATTTTTTTCAACATAGCATTACCAGAATTATTCAAAATTTTTTTACAATCTGTCGTAGCAATAAGATTTAATGTATGGAAATAACATGTTAACTGACGAGGTAAAATAATTTCATTTTCCAATTCATCTGTAATAGAATTTTCAATGTCATGTTCATTACTCAACTATTATCAATATTTATTAATATTTTTCCATCGTTAATATCTGAATCCGAATAATTCTCATTCAAAATATCTTTATTTATTTGTAGTGTACCTCGATTTTGATTAAAGTTTTCAAGTTTGGTAACACCAAAGCGTCTAAAAGATTTAATAAAATTTGTGGCATTATCAGTCACTAAGTGAGTAATTTTAGATTCTAAACTGAAATTTGTCAATATGTGATGGATAACTAATGCAATATTTTTGTAAGTATGATTGTAAAGTATTCTTTTACAAGCTAATATATAAAACTTTCTTTCAAATGTGTCCAAAATAAAGTGAACAGTTATTCCTAAATAATTTTTTTTTGTTGCGACACGACCAAATATCAGCAGTTAAACACACATAAACTTGTTTTATAATAATGCTTTCAATTTAGATGTTCTTTTTTTGTAGGAGTTATTAATCTCAGTAGACAAAGCACTTTTTCCAGGTAGAATTTTTTCAGGTTCATTGTTTCCTGTTAATCCACAGATTAAATTTCTGAATGATGGTTTGTAGATCGTGTTTAAGGGGATGCTGGAGCGAAGGCCGAACTTGATCAAGGTCGATATTACAGGTTTTCATTTCCAATGTATAAGCTGCTTACGCCCTCTGAAGTTAATATGATCATGCAGGAAATTCGATCGATTAATTATCGATATTTTTATTCCGTTTCTTACATTACCATCTTAACAGGGACGTGTATTAGGGTCGGTCCCACAATATAAGATTTATTTTGGAAAATTTTCCAATTTTAGAATTGAAAAAAAAATAAACATAATTGAAGTTAATCTTATATTTGTAGAATCGGACCTTAGAAATTTAGTTGCATTATATACATATTTAGTTGTATTATATACACATGCAATGTAGGCCGTGTTCTAATATATATCACCAGTACTAAAAGTCTATAATATACATAAAATACAGATTTTTAATTAATAAATATATCGATACGAAGCAGTAATAGCACTTTTTTCTTACATCCAATGCCATTTTAGGTTACGATAATATATTATCATAAATGAATATCATAATATATATATATATAGATATTCATGCAGATATTCTCTATGTCCATTTTTATGCAATATTAAAATTTTATATTATAATGTGTATAATGATATATAAAATGTAATTCTAGTTGTATATAAAAAGACATTCATGAATACGAATTACAATTACATTTTATGTGTATTATAATATATGTGTATATACACAATAACACAAAAAATATTATTGACATATTAGTGAAGACATAAACATGTTAGT